CATTATACAATATACTAAGTGCGTAATAAAATATTCTTATGAACTTGTGAAAGAAAAATAAAGCAGGTAAATTTTGTTGATTTCAATCAAATTTTCGTAATACAACACCATGAGATGAGACTTGAGTGATCGTTCAAACTTTTGAATAATTATAATGTAATACAAATGAATAAAAATAATAATGACTTTATGTTATATTTACTCCATTATTTATTATCGTTAATTTTATAATTCTATAATTCTATTAATTTTGGAAAAACCTTTAGAAATTTTTCTTTTAGTGGAATAAAATTATCCCGAATAACGAGGACATACATACACTGCTGCAATAATGTTAATTCATTTTATAATAGGTTACTTAAATGAAGCTATAATAAAGTACATTTCTATTTATATATAATGAAGTATAATTCTTATTCTTCTGCGCAGTGGTAGTTTAAATATACGCACAAAACATTAATAATAATTTTTTACGCACATTAAATAAAGTAATAATTGGTACCTCTCAACGTAATTGTGATCGTACGAAACTCTATTATTTCGCTATCAACTGTCTCTTCAAAGACGCATAATGTCATATCTAGATGAATGCATTATTTTTTTCTCCTTAATAACATTCTCTTAATAGCATCTTGAGTCACTATTGAATTCAGTCGCGCCGTGAAACTTTAAGTCGCGTTCATATCGTGTGTTCTTTCAAAATAGTGTGACACCATTGATCTTTATTTGTATTATTGCATTTAGTCGAGATCAATGTAAAGTTCCACACGAGTGTAAACTCGTAAACGGTAAGACTCGAAATTAGAATAGATAGTTGAAGTCTGCAATATGTGAATTTAATAATATACATTGCGCCCACCCCATTCCCCAGTCATTTCTTTTCTTTTTTTCAATCACATTCTCTTCTTTCACGAAAATAAAAAATTTATAACTTGCTTAGTTCCTTGCGATGATCCAGAATTTGTGAATAGTAAATCAATGTTAGTGCACTGACTTTTTTTTTTTT